ACATTTTCTAAGGTTTTTGTTTGCATTTCACTTAAGCACACAAGGTAACATTTGTTTTAGGTTTATAATAGCGATTGTACAATTCCATATAACACCCAGTGCTCATCATAAGGACAATCCTTAGTCCCCATCACTTATTTAAGGCATCCATCTACCCACATCCACTCTGGCAACCATCAGATTGTTCTCTAAAGAGTCTGTTTCTTGATTTACCTCTCCATTTCTTTTTTTCTTTCCCATTGCTCACTTGTTTTGATTTCTGAATTCCAAGTCTGAGTGAAATCATATGGGATTTGACCTTCTCTGACTTCTCTCATTTAGCAGAAGACTCTCTAGCTCCATGTTGTGGAAATGCCAAGATTTCATTAATTATAGGTTGATAAATATTCCCTACTATATATATCCCACATCTTTATTCATTCTGTAGTCAGTGAACACTTGTGCTGGACTGTTTGAACAGAAATGCTTCCCTCCTCTGTTGAACTGCTCCTCCAACAAATCCCTGCCATGGACAGAGCCAGAGCACGGGACTATACTCATCATGACACTGACTCAAGGGAGGAAGGTCCTGCACAGCAGTACATCACCTTCCCTGAACTGTCACCCAACTACAGTGGATCTAACCTTGATTGGGGTTATATACCTGGGTTACTACTGTGTATGTGCAAGCACAGCACATGCCTTCCTGATCCTATTCCACTCTCCAGAAAACTTCATCTTGAACATCTATTCTGCCATGTGACATTTTTAAAGCTCTGCACAAATAACTGCACTGCATCATCCAATACCCTCATCCATCACTTGCCACTGATCCAGGCCTGGGGAAACTCAGTAATCATTAACATCCAACATCACTAGTCCTCAGTTAAGACACAGGAATTCAATCAATTATTGAAGATGAAGTAGGACTTCGCTACTCCTTAGAAACCCATCACCTTTGCCAATTCCTTTTCCCCGTTATAGGCATTCATCCAATGATACCACGAAGAGCTGCCCTGTGGCTTTGTACTGACTAAAGGGAGCCACCTCCGGTTTCCTCACCACATTGGGAGAATTCTTCACATTTTCTTTTAATAGGTCTTATCTGTCTAAAGATGGTGCTTCATCAAGTCTTGCTTAGATTCATGTCACAACCCAGTGTGAATGTCTGAATACCCACTGGCCTTCCATCACTCTAATCTCGAGTGTTTAGTGAGGACATTCTCGGCAAAACACAGGAAAAAAGAACGGTTGTGATGCCTTTGTACCTGTAAACATAATGAGGAAAAATAAAACTGGAGAAAAGGAGAAGATATCTTTCTGAATACAGGGAGTCAGTTGTGCACCTTCGGACAGTTGTCCTCCACGTGCTAATTCTTCACCTTATATATTTTCTCTCTCTTACGTGGGCTACCATATCACTCTCATTGGGATAGGTTTCTCTTATTTATGGGTTATCAATTACACACCCAACACAGTCATATGTGCACATATATTTCATATACACATCCAAAAACACCTCCACATATGAAATGGGGCACATATCTTTATTTGGGGCCATGGTGAAGTGCTTCAGAGTCCCAGGACTAAGGACAGACTAGGCCATTCAAACTAAAGCAGGCTTAGGTAAACTGTGTGGGTGTCTTCCCTAAGGGACACAGGAGGGGAACGCTTTGGGACAAAGGAGAGATGGTTGCTTACAAGAATGGAATGAAGATGTCATATCAGCAGTTTTACATTAACTTGGGACTCTGCAGTGTGTTGTCTTGGGATTCACTAGTGAGAATGGCTGATGTCATTCAAGGCCCCTGCAAAAGTACTGCCTACACCAAAGGGGCGCTAAGTAGCAATAGCATAGAGTACATGAGCAAAAAACTCAACAATACCTCTATATTATATCCCTAATATATCCATAATAATGCCAAGAGTTTTCACAAAGAGAAAATCGTATTACAGACTAGGGGGAAAATAATCACACATCATATAAACCTTAAGATCTGAGAAAATGGATTCGTAAGTATATTATTCCACACCATTACCCAATAGATGATACCATCAGTTACCTACAACCTTCAATAAAATGAGATGGATTCACATTGGTGGTGGGATAACATGTCCTTCATTACACATCCATGTTAACACGTTAAAAATTATGTTTTGGGGCACCTGGGTGACTCCATAGGTTAAGCATCTGCCTTCAGCTCAGGTCATAATCCCAGGGTGCTGGGATGAAGCACCAGGTGGGCTCCCCACTCGGTGGGGAGCCTGCTTCTCCCTTTCCCTCTGCCTGCCGCTCCCCCTGCTTGTGCACCTGTGCTCTTTCTCTGTCAAATAAATGAAATCTTTTTTAAAAAGTTGTTTTATTAAAATATATTAAGTTCACACAGAGACTAAGTGATGCATTTCAAATCCACCCATTATCACCTTTCAAAATACAGAATACAAGCTTTAAAAAGCATTCAAGGGCTGCTATCATGATGTGGGAGTAGTCATTTCCATAAACTTCAGGCCTAAGGTCATTCTTAAGAAATGTGTTAGGTACAGCTGTACAGCACTCGGGGGAAGAGTTAGCTATCCTCCCCCGCCCCCAGTTCTACTATTATTTATTTTAATATTTTTGAAAAAAAATAGAATTTTTTTTACAATATTTTCAACTTAAACACTATTCACCCTGAACACATATGGCAGCTTAACCTACCCAAGTATGACGTTTAAGAGGCCAAAACTTCTAGGTTTATTAAAAAAAGTTGTGCTGTTGACTACTGTAGTGACGGTTAAACAAAGCAAGGAAAAGCACCACTCAAATCATGTCACCATTACTTTGTCCGGTTGGATTACGGTGGGTCAAAATGCTGCACTTCACATAGCTATGATGCATTGACTCTTTAGAAGATGCAACTCTCAAATTACATACTTCCTCAGATGTAACACTAGAAGAATTCCCTTTCTTACGTGATAAAATACCATCGAAGTCAGGACTAGTTCTCATCTGATCACTACCTTATAACTTCAGTAAGCCAAAGATATATTTGTCTATAAAGAATTATTTCAAATTAACAAGGCCTTCTTCAGAAAAAGGAGATCCTTGGGGCGCCTGGGTGGCTCAGATGGTTAAGCGTCTGCCTTCGGCTCAGGTCATGATCCCAGGGTCCTGGGATCGAGTCCCACATCGGGCTCCATGCTCGGCGGGGAGCCTGCTTCTCCCTCTGCCTCTCTCTCTCTCTCTCATGAATAAATAAATAAAATCTTTAAAAAAAAAAAAAAAGAAAAGAAAAAGGAGATCCTTTTTGTTACAAATGCAAATTTAAGTCTGAACTGAGAAATACGCCTAACAACTAGAACTTCATTTAAATGTACTCAGTTTTGGGGCGCCTGGGTGGCTCAGTTGTTAAGCGTCTGCCTTCGGCTTGGGCCCTGATCTCAGGATCCTGGGATCGAGCCCCGCATCGGGCTCCATGCTCGGCGAGAGGCCTGCTTCTCCCTCTCCCACGCCCCCTGCTTGTGTTCCTGCTCTCGCTGTCTCTGTCAAATAAAATCTTTTAAAAAATAAAATAAAAAATAAATGTACTCATTTTTATAAAGTTTAGACATTAACAAGCATTCACTAACCCTAAGGGACTAGTTTAGCCTCAAAAGACAATTCACTAAGATTTAGAGGTCGTTTTAATTTGGTGATTTGTCACAACTTTACTGGTGCTTCTTTCCTCTCTGTCTTCACATCAAGCCATGGACTTGATTCTATTTTCAGTAAGCGTTTGACAGCTTAATCCTTAGTAACAGTCTCAGCACTTTTTTAAAGATTTTATTTATTTATTTGACAGAGAGAGACACAGTGAGAGAGGGAACACAAGCAGGGGGAGTGAGAGAGGGAGAAGCAGGCTTTCCGCTGAGCAGGGAGCCCGATGCGGGGCTCGATCCTGGGACCCTGGGATCATGACCGGAGCTGAACGCAGACGCTTAATGACTGAGCCACCAGGCGCCCCCAGTCTCAGCACTTTTATTAAGCATGCAAGACTAACAAAACTTTGGCAATGCATAGTGTAACACAGTGACGAGAGCGCTTTTACAATTAAGTCTCCTAATACTGCCTGCACAGTGTGGAAATTGTGCTACATCCACCAAAAGAGGGCCCCATCTACTCAAATATTTTAGTACTTCACCCCAGGAACAAACTCCTTTGCATTTGGATTCAGATTGCTCTTGACCACAGGGTCTTCCAGAGAACAGCCATCACTGATAACAAGGTCATTAAATTGGTCTTGGATTTGGTCCATAGTTTGTGGGAGATCTCGAGCTGGAATAAACTACTCACGTTCTTCTTCGTCCAGCATTTCTTGGAAGCAGCATTCAATAAATTCTTCTTCCCATAACTCCTCTTCTATTTGTCTGTTGAATCCCTCTTCATTTTCCATCCACGTGTACTCTGCAAATGGATCGCCATCTTCATGAGAATGACCATTAATAATCACATCTTCATTGATGATGCTTGGGCTAGTACTGCTGCGACTTGGATCTTTCATGGTTGGCGTTGTTTTAGCCCAGTGCATGGCAGCATGGTCGGCAGCCTACGAATCTCCACAGGGAGCACCCCTTCCCTGTTCTACGTGCGCTTTGCCCAGCGCCTCCCTTCTCCAGTCCAAACAAACCAGCTATCCTCTTTGTGATGTGTGTCAGGATTTCTTCATTTCAACCACATCACCTCACACTCTTAATGATTACTCTGAAGATATTATCAGTACTTTACTGGACTGTCACCTCTTTTTCCTTAAAGAGCTATTAGTAAAACCTTGTATCTCTAATATTCAGGAAGTTCTTTAGTTTACAATACATGGAGTACCATACAGTTGAACAGCTATTTCATGATAACTCACATCCATGTTATAACCATAAACAGCATCTCCATTTAGTTTTTCTGCATATTTGGGTATTATACCATCCATCATCCATGGAAAATTAGGTATGCATGAGTTCCACCTAATGAAGAAGGGCATCTCATATCTCTCCAGTATGAATTCTGTGATGTCGAGCAAGGGTTGAGTGTAATTTAAAGGCTTTACCACATTCCTCACATTTTTACGGTTTCTGTCCAGTATGAATTTTGTAATGTTGACTAAGGGTTGATTGTCTGTTAAAGGCCTTGCCACATTCCTTACATTGGTAAGGTCTCTCTCCAGTATGAATTCTGTGATGTCGAGTAAGTACTGAGTGCAATGTAAAGGCTTTGCCACATTCTTTACATCTGTAGAGTCTCTCACCAGTATGGACTCTGTGATGCCGAGTAAGGTTTGAGTGCCCATTAAAGGCTTTGCCACACTGTTTACATTTGTAGAGTTTCTCTCCAGTATGCATTTGCCTATGTTCATTTAGTGATGAGCAGTCCTTAAAGGTTTTACCACATTCCTCACATTTTTACGGTTTCTGTCCAGTATGAATTCTGTGATGTCGATTAAGGGCTGATTGCCTCTTAAAGGCATTGCCACATTCTTTACATTTGTAAGGTTTCTCTGCACTATGAATTCTGTGATGTCCATTAAGGGTTGAGCGTAATTTAAAGACTTTGCCACATTCCTTACATTGGTAAGGTTTGTCTGCACTATGAATTCTGTGATGTTTAGTAAGGTTTGAGTGAAATTTAAAGGCTTTGCCACATTCTTTACATTTGTAAGGCTTCACTCCAGTATGAATTCTGTGATGTTCATTAAGTGTTGAGTGGTGGTTAAAGGCCTTGCCACATTCTTTACATTTGTAAGGTTTCTCTCCAGTATGAACTTTATAATGTTGAATAAGGTTTGACTGACTGTTAAAGGACTTGCCACATTCTTTACATTTGTAAGGTTTCTCTCCAGTATGAATTCTGTGATGTTCCGTAAGGACTGAGCGAAATCTAAAGGCTTTGCCACATTCGTTACATTGGTAAGGTTTCTCTCCAGTATGAATTCTGTGATGTTTAATAAGGTTTGACTGATGGTTAAAGGCCTTGCCGCATTCGTTACATTGGTAAGGTTTCTCTCCAGTATGAATTCTGTGATGTTGACTAAGGTGCTGTAGCCTCTTAAAGGCCTTGCCACATTCTTTACATATGTAAAGTTTCTCCCCAGTATGGATTTGCCTGTGTCTATTTAGTGATGAGCAGTCCTTAAAGCTTTTACCACCTTCTTCACATTTATATGTTTTCTCTCCAATTTGCTGATGTTGAGATAGTGTTGAGTGCAAGTCAAAGGCTTTACCACATTCGTTAAAAATGTACTTTTTCTCTCCAGTAGAGATTGTATTATTTACATTTAGTTTTGATGATTGACTAAACATGTTCCCTGGTTTATTACACCTGAATACATTGTTTCCCTCATGAATTCTCTGATGATCACCAATATTGGTGGACTGGTTAAGTTTCCCACACTGATTATGTTCATAAGGATTCTCTGCCAAATGGATAGTCTTATGTATAGTAAGGTCAGAGCTCTGATAAAAGACTTCCCCACATTTATGACATTCACTATGGTTCTTTGGAAATGGAGTCGTCACATGTCTATTAACCCTGGAGCCCTGGTTAAATGTTTTCTCAGATTCACTGCGTTGACTAATTCTGTCTCCATTGAAAAGGCTCTGGTAATTCTGTAGGGTCAACTCCACATTGCGGCACCTCTCAAATGGATCCCGCTTAGCACGCTGTTCTTCATTTCTAAATCTCTGATTATCAGAAATATTTGACTGATAGGTCAATCCAATCCTATCTTCAAAATGGTTCAAATCATTATTTTCAGCATGGGCTAGATAACTTTCCCGATCTTCCAAATTTTCTTTCCACAAGCATGTATGTTTGAGTATTTGATAGCAGCTTTTTCTTGCAGAATCACACTGTTTTTCAGAAACAGCTGACTTACAAAGGGCAGTTGTCTCAGTTTGAATATGTCCTTCGTGATATCTCTGATGCCCTTCACTCTCCACATCATTGTCCCAATCTGTCATTAAGTATAAATTGTCAAGGACACTATTTTTATACTTCCACATTGACACTTGTTGGAAAGAACCTTCTATGCTTGGCTTTGGAAGGAAGCACTGGGTATGTGAAGATATGCCTAAAAGATATGAAATGAGAGAAAATAAAATCATTTCACTTACTATTTTTAGATAAATACACTGATGACTTCTAATTACAAGCTTCAAGTCAATCAGAGAATGTCAGAAAGATGGCTGAGAAGGAATCATCAGGACTTCATTTATCCATGGACATGTAACTTTGCACACAACATACTGGCCACATATCCTAATAGATAATTCTGTGGTATTGTCATCTTTTAGCACAAATCACTTTCCTACATCTCAAATAATCAGAAGTGTCACATGAGTGCAAAATTAGTAGAAGGAAGGCTATTTAAACATAAAAGTGAAATGAACCAAATAGGATATAGTAAAAATAGGAACATATCAACAATAGGAAGACTTGGTTGTCAAAAAAGATCAACAAAATTGACAGCCCATGAAATAAATCAAGTAAGAATGAAAGAGAAAGGACCAAGTAAAATGAGAAGTGAAGTAAAAGCAGACATAGTAACTAATACCATAGAAATAAAAGTAATTATAAGAGGTGACAATGGATAATAATGTGCCAACAAAGTGATACCAAAAGAAAACAATAAATATCAAAAAAGGTATTACCATCATGAAGAAATATTAAAAAATCACAACTACTAAGCAGATTGAAAGAGTAAAAAAACAAACAAACAAACAAAAAAAAACTCCCAACAAAGAAAAGTCCTGTGCCAGATGAATTCACTGGAGAAGTCAGACAGACACTTAATGAGAAAGGACTTCAAAGAATCTCCTCAAGCATGTCCAAGGAGAAAAGATAAGAGAAATTAGCAAAACACTCTCTGTGGTACCAGCATTACCAGGTTATCCAAGCCAGGGGAACACACTACAAGTAAAGAAGGTTACAAACCACTACCTGTGAGGAATATTCATGCAAAGTCCACAATAAAATAGAGCAAACTGCATCAAAAGCACATTTTACCATTTTATAACATATGTTAAGTGGGAAATTGTCCTGGAATTAAGGGTGTTCCAACATATAGTAAACTATGAATTGAGGACTTCACATTAATAGAATGATGATCAAAAATGACATGATCAGGGGCGCCTGGGTGGCTCAGTTGGTTAAGTGTCTGCCTTCAGCTTGGGTCCTGATCCCAGGCTCCTGGGATTGAGCCCCATGTCAGGCTCCTTGCTCAGCGGGGAGCCTGCTTCTCCCTCTCCCTCTGCTGCTCCCCATTTGTGTGCTCTTTCCCTCAAACAAATAAAATCTTAAAAAAAAAATGACATGATATTGAGACAGAACACAAATATGAGCATATTGGACAACATGTTATAAATAAAAACACTAAACAAGAGACAGAAGGAAACCCCCTCAACCTAATGAAGGCCATATGCATATGAAAAGCTGAAACCTAACATACTATATAGTATAAGACTGCAAGCTTCTCAAAGATCAGAAACACTGTAATGAAGTAACTGCACCACTGCCTTTGAACAAAGTACTGGATATTCTAGTCAGAAAAATTAGGCAACAAAAAAAATGCATAAAAGGAATTCACATTGAAAAAGAAACGGAAAAAGTATCTCTGTTCACAGATGACATGATCTATTGAAAACCCTAGAGAATCCTAATTTTAATGTTTTTGCTATTTTTCTTTTTTGGTCATTGTAAACATTGCTTATTTTTGCTAGTTTTCTCTTTTTTTTATTTTTTTAAAAGATTTTTTAAATTTATTTATTCATGAGAGACAGAGAGAGAGAGAGAGGCAGAGGGAGAAGCAGGCTTCCCGCTGAGCAGGGAGCCTGATTGCGGGACTTGATCCCAGGACCCCGGGATCATGACCTGAGCCGAAGGCAGACGCTTAACCATCTGAGCCACCCAGGCGCCCTTGCTAGTTTTTTCTAATAGACTTTCCATTTTTGATTTTTTTTTTTTTAGGCTATACATGGTTAAGAAAAAAGTTGGAATAAACAACCTAACTGCCCAGCACAAGGTTCTAGAAAAGGAAGAAACTTAGCTGAAATTTAGTAGAGGAAGGAAGTAACAAAGAAAAATCTGATATAAATAAAATAGTTACCAGAATAAAAGAACATTGCAAGTAACACCCTTTTTAACCAAAATAGTAAGCACAAGTACCAGTGCTTTAACTACATAAACAATTACATACTAAAAAAAAAATCAGATAATTTAGAAAAAAAAAAAAAAACCCAGGTAATAACCTAAGAATACACAGGTTATTAAGACTGAATAAGGAACCTTGAACCAAAGAAATGGGAAATCTTAGACCAATAACAAGAATGAAAGTTGAATTTGTAATCAAAATTCTCCCAGCACAGAAAAGCCCAAGACCTAGGAATGTTACTACATTTGATGGAGTCACTGAGTTCCCTAAATCAAACCTTGTGCTACAGGATTCTTCTAGCTCCCTTTTGATCGATTCATTATTTTTCCTTTATTTAGTCTTCTAGGTCACAAAGTCATTCCTGTTTCCTCCAGCCTGCTGTTTTTGCATCAAGCCTGTTTCCAAACTTGTTTATTGCACTGTTCATCTCTGATTTTTTTAATAATTTATTTTAGAGAAGAGAAAGAGAGCAAGAACAGGAATGAGAGCTGCAGGAGGCGAGAGGGAATCGCAAGGGTCACCACATTGAGTGCAGAACCTGACTTGAGGCTGAATCGCAGGACCCTGAGATCAAGACATGAGCCAAAACTAAGCGTCTGACGCTTAACCGAGTGGGCCACCTATGTGCCCCAATTTGTTAAACTCTTATCTCTTGGTAAGGTTCTCAGAATTTACTTCTCAACCCTCTGAGTATCCTTATGATTGTTGCCTTAAATTCTCCATCAAGCATGTTACTCATATCTATTTCCTTTATATCTCTGGCCATGGCCATATCTCATTTCATTTGGGATAAATTCTTTCATCTTGGCATTTTGTCTAAGTCTCTGCCTTCATCTGTATGTTAGAAAAGCCAGTGATGTATCCTGGTATATCCCTCAAGCCAGTGGTCTGCAGAGACTCTCCTTGCCTGCTATGGGCAGTGTTTGGTGCCTGGCCCGAATGTGGCCGGTTTTAACTAGGTGAGCTCTGGCCTGCTTGTCAAAGGTGACCTGACATCAACACTACCAGAACTGAGGCCCTACAGAACTCTCTGCTCAGGAGATGTGATGTGGGCAGGGGCGCACCTTGCTGAGCCTGATGCCTCACGGAGAAGGGCAGTCGCATCAGATCGCAGCAGGGTGGGGCTTGGTGCAAGCAAGGCAGACAGCCCGTGTCCTCAATGAGTGGGGCTCTGTGTTTATGCTACAGGCTGGAAGAGGGAAATGAGGACCACAGGCTCTTCTGTGTCTTCCTTTCCACGTCCTCACTGTGCTGGGCAAACTCTCCTCTTTCCCGGGTCCTCTCCTTTCAACAATGAACCTTTATCTCCAACGTGGTACAGATCAGTTTGCTTTCCTAAGTCTTTAATTAGTATGAATACACAGGATTAGCTTCATTTGGACAGCAGGTTAGCTTTCTTTACGTGCAACTTCCTAAAAAAGTAGTCTGACCTATATAGGGATATGCACATCGGAATCTATTTTGCTTTCTTTTCTATTAAAGTATACTTGACGTACAATATTATATTAGTTCAGGTGTACAACATGGGGGTTTGACAACTGCATAGGTTCTACTATGCTCACTACAAGTGAGTTACTATCTGTTACCATAAAATGCTATCATAATACCACTGAATTTATTTCCTATGTTGTATTTTTTATCCCGATGAGTTATTAATTCTGTAACTAGAAGCCTGTACTTCTCATTCCAATTTCCACATTTTGCCCAACATCCTTCTCCATTCCACGCTGGTTATTCATTGTATTTAAGGATCAGTTTCTTTTTTCATTGTTTCTTGCCATTTCTGACACTGTAGACAGACCCAGACTTATATGTGAAATAAGTCAGAGAAAAAAAGATAAATATCACACATATTCACTTCTATGTACAGTCAAAACGACAAAGCAAATGAACAAACAAGAGCAGAAACAGACCCAATATCTGTTTTGTTTTGAATAAAGTCCATGGATAATCTCAAGAACGATAAAAATTCCAAGATTACACACATTCTATAATATGACCAGTTTGGCCCGTAACAATTTTCCAATCCTGGCAGAAGACAGGAGGATCCCAGGTCAAAGTCCAAGGATCTTATGGCTCATGACACAGCAAACATCATAACCTCCTTCATCACACTAATTTCACTTGCCAACTGCGCACCCCCAACTGACCCGGGGAGATGCTGCACATGCAGTGGGTCTGTGTCACATCTGTGAGACTCTGAGCACAGAAGAGTACCATTTCCTGATTACATTTATATAAAGTACAGAAATGAGTACAGCAATCTCTTACCTTACATGACAAAAGAGTACTGAGTTTTGGAGAAAGTTAGTAAGGAGCTCAAGGGGAATTTCAGAGGACAATACTCTGTTTTGTGATCTCGTTGGCTTACAGAGATGTGAACAAATCCCAACATCGCCATTGGAATAGTAAACATAAATAAACCAAACGTTCCTGGTAACAGTCAACTTTGCTTGAGTATATGCCATTGGAATTATCCTAGAGCTGTAACTAAAACAGGAGGATAAAAATCAAAAAACAAAAAACCCCTGTAGTGAAAACCAATCAAATAACCAGCATGGCAATATAAATAACATACAAAGTAATCTTTAACATGAAAGGAATTTTTCCAATGTTATTAAGTGTCATTTTTCGACATCAAAGGTTACATTATTTAAATACTCTATTTCATGGAAAGCAAACATCTGTGTCCATATTCATTCATACACACACACACACAAATACATGTACATAGGGAAACATTTATTTTTTAGGCTGTGAGGTACAAAACCATTCATCACAGAGGGATGACCTCATCAAGATAGTGAGAAAGTAGTTCCCACATCAGTACTTTTGAAAATAAGTTCAACTAGC